AATATTAGTGTTTAAGCCTTTTTATTATATCCTTACTCTGTCCTGGACATTGAGTTCTACACGGATTCTATCCTCTTGGAATTTTTATTCAAAAAATATACATGTATGTGTATGCACCTATGTATATATATTTATATATTTTGCATATGTATGTGTATATTTACCACTAATATTATCTATCTATCTATCTATCTATCTATCTCTCTCTCTCTCTCTATATATATATATATATATATATATATATATATATATATATATATATGTATGTATGTATGTATGTGTGTATGCAAGTATGATGAATAATAACTGGTTACTCGTATTCGAGGTTACCGTCTAATTGGAAGCTGAATGTGAAACAGTCCCTCTTTCAGATGTCTGCTTAGTCATATTTGTGTTTGTTAAATACCCACAGAGCCCACCTGTGGTTTTATACCGTAAGTATGTTCAGCGGAGGTTGAGAGTCTTATCTAGCGTGATCAACAGTTTGAACAAGTCCAGGTACCCCTCGGTCACGATGACTTCTGACATTGCTAGCAGAACCTGCGACGGCTACCGAATTTCTCACACAAGTTCTTGGATCAAGCTGTAATATGGTGAGATTTGATCAGAAAGCGATCTTACCATCCACTATGATATGTGATCGAACTATATATATATATATATTTAAGTATGTATGTATGTGTCTCTGTGTGTACGCGCGTGTACTTTAACTGTAGTCTTTTCATTTCTCTCCCCCTGTTTTCCTTTTTCTCAGCAGGTTTGCTTATCGAAAGCTGTTGAATGGACAGGCTCCCTTATGAGTCAATTAACGGGCCTGATTTGTCACTCAGGCTGGCGCCATATCTCGACTGAAACTAAGCTCAAATCCCGCGAGCGTAACTAAGATGCACTATCAAATCGTCTTGCTCGTCGCAATTAGCACAGTGTCGCCCTTCTTCCTGTTCCAAGTGACTTCATCGCCTGTCTTTGATGCAAGATTTACATTTCTGTATTTTGTTGGCGCGGCGGAAGAAGAAGAAGAAGAAGAAGAAGAAGAAGAAGAAGAAGAAGAAGAAGAAGAAGAATGAATGAATGAATGAATAATCTATCTATCTATCTATCTATATATATATATATATATATATATATATATATATATATATCCGGGCGGGATCGGTTCGGATAGGACGTGGAAAAGTAAAATGGATGCCGTTTTAACTTCCGGTCGGAAGAACGTCGCTGCCGTTCAATTATTTGGATGTTCAATGTCAGATGAAGGAAGATTGTGGTTTCTCCGGTGTAATTACAATTGATATATTTTCTTTGTTTCTTTCTTTCTTTCTTTCTTTCTTTCTTTCTTTCTTTCTTTCTTTCTTTTTCCTTCCCCTTACCTTAATAATCTTCTTTCTATATTCCTTGCATTCATTTTCTTTCTTTCTTTTTCCTTCCCTTACCTTAATAATCTTCTTTTCTATATTCCTTGCATTCATTTTCTTTCTTTTTTTTCCTTCCCTTACCTTAATAATCTTCTTTCTATATTCCTTGCATTCATTTTCTTTCTTTCTTTTTCCTTCCCCTTACCTTAATAATCTTCTTTCTATATTCCTTGCATTCATTTTCTTTCTTTCTTTTTCCTTCCCCTTACCTTAATAATCTTCTTTCTATATTCCTTGCATTCATTTTCTTTCTTTCTTGTTCCTTCCCCTTACCTTAATAATCTTCTTTCTATATTCCTTGCATTCATTTTCTTTCTTTCTTTCTTTCTTTCTTTCTTTCTTTCTTTCTTTCTTAATTTGTTATAATTTTTCCTTTCTTACTTAAATTTCTGTCTTTCTTATTTACTTAAAATTTGTTAGAACCTATTTCTTTCTTCCTTTCTTTCCTTTTTATTACTTAAAATTTGTCATAACTTCTTTTTCTTTTCCCTTCTGTTGTGGATTCCGAGATGAATTCGATCTCCAAAGAATGACAAACGCAATAATTAAATATAAGAAATAAAATGTATTTACACAATCATACAAAGAGTAATACTGTTAGTAAATCCAGGAACACGGTTAGTAGCAAATACAGATAGATATATACAGACTCGAAGTAGGACTTCCTTAGAGTCTACGTGCTTGTAACTGACTTCTACAAGAGGTTATCTCACACTATCTCCGTTCGTATATTCTCTCTCTCTTTCCGACTACCCTCTCACTATCCGACTACCCTCTCACTGACTGTCTAACTCTGGGTATTTAACGGCAGCCGTCCAAGTAACACTGGTAGAGTCCATATATGAAAAAGGGGTGGACCCCATAACACCTTCTTTCCTACTTTCTTTCTTATTTAAAATTTTCTTACAGCTTCTTTCTTTCTTTTTTCTTTCCTTCTTTTTTCCTTTTCTTTCTTCCCTTCATTCTTACTCAACATTTGCTAGAACTTTTCCTTTCTTTCTTACTTAAATTTCTTTATTTTTTCTTATTTGCTTAAAATTTGTTACAAGTTCTTCTTTCTTTCTTTCTTTCTTTCTTTCTTTCTTTCTTTCTTTCTTTCTTTCTTTCTTAAAATTTCTTTCATTATTCCTTTCTTTCTCATTTAAGCCTTACGGCCACATCGCACTAAAACAAGGGTTTCCGTAAGATCACCAAAGTTAGGCAATGTCGAACCCGGTAATTTCCTGATGGGTGACCGTTTTGGAATTTCAGGGGCTGTAAGCTTGGATGTGCGAGTTGTACAATGGATAAAGTTTTAGAATTGTTAATCGGAGAGCCGAGTTCCAATTTCGCTCGTGGTTGTTATATTCACTTAAGTGCAAATACCCTTGGGAAAGGCATGAATCCACCTTTTCCCCCAAGATATGGGTTAATTACTAAGAATTTTATCACTAAAACATTTATTATCTCTAAAATAAATAAAATAATATTATGTACAAAATATTGAAATATTGGCATTAAATAACCCATAGAAGTGTTGATGTGCCGCCAAACAACTAACTAAGCTTTCTTACTTAAATTTCTCATTTATCTTTCATTATTCTTTACTAATATTTTATAACTTTTCTTTCTTTTGTTCTTTCTTTCTTCTTTCTTTCTTTCTTTTTTCTTTCTTTCTTTTCTTGTTCTTTCTCTTCTTCTTTCTTCTTTCTTTCTTTCTTTTTTCTTTCTTTCTTTTCTTGGTCTTTCTCTTCTTCTTTCTTCTTTCTTTCTTTCTTTCTTTCTTTTTTCTTTCTTTCTTTTCTTGGTCTTTCTCTTCTTCTTTCTTCTTTCTTCTTTCTTTCTTTCTTTCTTTTTCTTTCGTTTTTGTATTAAATACGCTTACCCGACGTTTATTCATTGTCTCCACTCGTTTTTTCTTTTATAATTTCGCCATAATCTGTTTGCCATTTTATATATTTACTAGCTAAATTATCCGCACCTTCCTGCGTGTCACACATTTTTTGCGAGAAAATTATCATTGATTTTTAATTCATTGTTATAATTTGTGGAGTAAAAAGATGCATTTCAATATTACTCAATGATTTTACCGATGTGACCTCCATCTTCTGGCTTTCTCTTTCTGTATTGTTATATAGGAATAAAGTGTCATTACTGACACAAGTATTTGAAATTAGATCGCAAGTGAGCAAACATATGCGGCCTCATTATTCATTAGGTAGATCACGTGACCAAAGCTGAAACGCTTATATGGGGGAAGTCGCGTGACATATGCGGCGTTCACTATTTCTCCTCTATCCCCTATACTATTCAAATCACTATTCTCTTCTCAGTATACAAAGTACTATTATTACGAGTATTATTCTAAGACGTCTGATACGACAATTGTTTAACGTCGTATTTTAATTGGTATCTGCGATTACAAAGTCTCTACTACGTTGGCATTGACGAGGTATCAAGCAAGTATACATTGTCATCATAACAGTGGAAAAGAGTTGTTTTGATGACATAATATCCTTGTTGAAGGAATAGATTTCGTAAGAGCCTTACAATTGTACGACGATTTAAATTTATGGATCAGCTCAACGACTAGAGTTAACCGTCTTTTTTTATTTCCTCCTTCAACGACATCTGTGTTTCCCAAACGGTGCGATTGCCTCGTAGTGGCGGTGGAAGAGGATAGCAGGTGAAGCGGATGAGGATAGCAGGTGAGGCGGAAGAGGATAGCAGGTGAGGCGAAAGAGGATAAGAGGTTAGGCGGAAGAGGATAGTAGGTGAGGCGGAAGAGGATAGCAGGTGAGGCGGAAGTGGATAGCAGGTGAGACGGAAGAGGATAGGAGATGAGGCGGAAGAGAACAGCATGTTAGGCGGAAGAGGATAACAGGTGAGGCAGAATGATTGAAAGGCAATCAAAGATTTAGAAACACTTTGAAAAAAAATTCATATGCCAAATATATATATATATATAGGTTAAGAGAGAGAGAGAGAGAGATATATATATATATATATATATATATATATATATATATATATATATATATATATATATATATATATATATATATATATATATATAAGAGGTACGGTAGTGTAGTTTAAGCGGCTCGGGTTGAGGAATCGGAGAGCCGTGTTCGAATTCAGTCGTATTCTTTATATTCACTTACTTGGGAAAGGTATGAATCCTCTCCCCCCACCCACTTAGATAATATTAATCCCTCTGTTTTTTCCATTCCCTAATCCTTTGTTATATCGGATTAACGTATTGCTGCTAACACTTGTGCTTGAACGTAGATCGTAATTGAACAAATACATGCTGTCAACATTATTCATTAGGTAGATCACGTGACCATAGCTGAAATGCTTATATAGAGGAAGTCACGTGACATAAGGGGTGTTCATTATTTTGTCCTCTATCCCCTATACTATTTGGACCGCTATTCTCTTTCTCACCATACGAGGTACTATTAGTACGAGTATTATTCTACGACGTCTATATTTAGTCGTTCCCCCACGAGGGCGTCATGTGGCACAAGGCCAGTTTAACGTGGGCACTCCGAGCCCGCGGGCTCGGCCAAAAATATACCCAGTGAACCGGTATAAACGGGTTCAGGGCCGGTCTACCTCCCCGAAGGAGACTCCGCCCTTCGGCGTAGCCTCCTTCGGGTTCCTCCCGCCCGTAGGAAGAGAGTTGAACCGAACAGTCGCAACAGAAAGTGAGCGAGTGACGTCTGACACCCTTATTCTTCAACGGCGTAGTATAATTGGTATCTGCGATTACAAAGTTTCTACTTCGTTGGCACTGACGAAGTATCAACCAAGTGTACGTTGACATCCTAAAGTGGCAACAAAGAGTCGTTTTAAACGACATAACATGTATTTTAGATAGGAGTCATTCCCTTCTTCAAATTTAAATTTAATTTAAAGCAAAAGGAAAAAAATTACAGTGGGGATTCGTACAAAAATAGCTTGATCTGGCCACCTTTGATAGGCATTTGATGCAATACTTGATTGAATGAATTGATGAAAAGATTTTAACATTGATATGACAGTTGAATTATCGCAACAAATATGTATTGTGAGGCATTACTTACTGATTGTTGATTTCTTGCTCAACGTGTCGTCCATGTTCTATCATTTTCATCTTGTCGATGTGACCTCCATCTTCTGGCTTTCTCCTTTTATATTTTGGATAGGAGTTATTCCCTTGTTCTAATTTAAATTTAATTTAAATCAAAGGGGAAAAATATCAGTGGCGAGGTGGGGTACCACCCGGGGACTCTCTTTGATCAAATGAAATATACTTATCCAAGTACCGGAGGAGTCATTACCTTGTTAATGTTTAAATTCAATGTATATAAAAGGGGAAAAACTTTCAGTGGGGGTTGTGTCCCCATGAGGACTACCTTTGATCAAAATGAAATAAATTTATCTAAGTACCCTAGGCAATTTAGTTTCAGAGTATCTATGTTTATGGGGGTCTATCTCTAAAGGAGTTTGATAACAAACAGACAGAGGATACAACTTTATATATATATATATATATATATATATATATATATATATATATATATATATAGATAGATAGATAGATAGATAGATAGATACGAACAGACTGAGATAGATAGATATATACGAACACACTGAGATAGATAGATAGATAGATAGATAGATAGATAGATAGATAGATACGGACAGCCTCAGATAGATAGATATGAATAGACTGAGATAGATAGATAGATAGATAGATAGATAGATAGATAGATAGATAGATATGAATAGACTGAGATAGATAGATTTTTTTGTCTTCCAGTTACTTTCGTAAATCAATCTTAGTAATATGGAAAGGGTGCGATGGGTAAATTGTCGTCTAAATGGCGCCAAAATGAAAATAACACTGGTATCTCAATTTAACAAATATACAGGGTGCAATGGGTAAATTGTCGTCTAAATGACGTAAAAATGAAAATTTTACTGGTATCTAATTTTTACACATATACAGGATGCGATGGATAAATTGTCATCTAAATGGCACCAAAATGAAAATAACACTGACATCTCATTTTAACAGATAGACTTAGCAAAATTACACAAAAATATCTTGAAATAGTAAAGAGTAATTTTAATCAATAAAATCGCCATTGGCTTCAACAATGGCCAGCAGACGACTTCGAAATCTCCTTCAAATCTCCAGAACGATATCCTTGATGAAATTGGTGAACGCTGCCATAATCCTTGCCTTCAGTTCATCTTTGGTGTTCCAAGGAGTTTTGTTGCTCTCTCGCTCAACTGCGCTTCACGCACAATAATCAAGGGGTTTGCAATCTGGGGAGTTAGGTGGCCAGATGTGGTCGCAAAAATTGTCTGACAGCCATAAATGGATTCTCCTGCTTGTTGGGCATGGTGCAGAGTCTGTTGCCAGACCTAGTGTCTTCAACAGTCACCTTCTTTACTCATAGGAGCACTACCTTGTAAAGGCACTTGATGTAGGCCTCCGTGATAAGTCTGAGGACATCACCAACAAATTCTGGAGTTCTTTCCTTATTTGAACGATCTGAGTTTTTTTTTTCGAGCTGCCTTACCTTCGTAATCACCATTAGACTCATCAAACTCTTTCCGAATTCTCTTCACTATCCTCACATTGACTGCTAAACACTCTGACATATTCGTGTTGGAGCTTCCGGCGTGAATGCCAAGCAGTACAGCATGCCGTTTCCAAATTTCTGGTGGAGTGAATTGCATCATGGTGCTCTTTTTCTCACAGACGGTGTCCCAACTGACCTTGTGATTGTGAAGTCGTCAAAATCAAAAACAACGCGCATGCGTGAAATTAAAAATATAAAATGGCGACAATTTACCTATCGCATCCTGTGTCACAATGGAGTTGAATGAACCGTTGTAATTGAAGGATTTTTTTCTGACATGGCAGAGTTTATCATTTCTTTGCCAGGGAAAAGTCCAAAACATTATATTTACATCGGCTGCTAGAAATAAATTTCTCGTGCGAGCTGCAACAGAACGATTGTGAGCAATCGTGCAAGATACTAATGCACCCTTTTATGAAGACTGAGATTTATTTAAAGAATTTTGCTCTGGGTCGGGAAAATTAACGGATTGGCATCCGTAATTCCAAAGAGACGGGACAGATGACTGATTGTTTTGCATCTTTTACAAAGACGCCCCTTTTTCAAAACCATTCAAATTATATTTAGTAATTATATAAAATCAGTTTGCCCCAAGTAAGGAGATGATGCCACTAAGACGTAAGGGGCTACACGAAGTAAAAGAGAAGAACACTTTAGGGAAAACAGTAAAAGAGCTGGTACCAGGAAAACAGAATGTGGCGATTGGCATGCCTATAAATTTTTGAAGACTAGATGGCAGGAACGCAAGAAACCCAGAGAAAGTTCCACAGGAGAGAAGTGCAAGAAAAGAAATCATTAGAATAGAACTGACAGTTTCAGACAGTTTAACCGCCAGGCTCATTCCTAAACTTGTATCGTCGTCGTCGACACCCGTCCGTCTCGCGTCTACGAGCCTGGGCGGGATATATGGAGAACTAGGGCTGCCCAGACGTCTAGTTCCCCATCTCGGCCTTTCTAGCAGGACAGGATAAACCAATACAGTTTGGTACCAGCGTGGCTGCAGGAGTTGCCGGAAGGTAGCACAAAGTGCCGTCCATCAGCCTTAGCGGCTCCACTTTCTCCTAGACCAGGTGCCATCTAAATTTATAGAACCCGATCTGTCGTTCTATTTACCTATAGCTGGAGGGAGAAAGAGAGGATTCACACCTTTCCCAAGGGTATTAGCACGTAAGTGAATGTAATGGATTCGATTGGAATTCGAACTCGGCTCTCTTATTCCTCAACCCAAGCCGCGTCAACCCAAGCCGCGTCAACCCAAGCCGCGTAAGTGAACGTAATGGATTCGACTGGAATTCGAACTCGGCTCTCCGATTCCTCAACCCAAGCCGCGTAAGTGAACGTAATGGATTCGACTGGAATTCGAACTCGGCTCTCCGATTCCTCAACCCAAGCCGCGTAAGTGAACGTAATGGATTCGACTGGAATTCGAACTCGGCTCTCCGATTCCTCAACCTAAGCCGCTATCTATTACTCCACCGTGACTCCTCACTAATCTTGTAATACGCTTAAATTCGTACAGTCAAGGCACTATGGTGGAAATATCATTCGTTTATATGCTAACCTCCAGGAGATTGACTCATTACACCTTCAACGAATTACGTTTTCAGTTAACATGAAATGAAAAGAGAATATTGAATCAACAGATAAGTCTGAAGCTAACAAAGTTGGTTCAGTTTGGCGTTCTAGGCAATTTTTCTCGTTTAAGGGATACTGTGGTATTATTGTATCAGTAATTGTACCTAGCTAAACTTAAGATAAGTCAGATTGAAGACTGGCCTTCTCCAATCCCCCTTTTGGCCTTCTGACACATATTTGCACTTTTCAGAATAAATACTTTCCTCTATATTACTTAAACTTTATGAAAAGAGTATATTGAATCAATCGGTAAGTCTGATGCTAACAAATTTGGTTCACTTTGGCGTGCTAGACAATTTTTCCCGCCAGAATCTATCTTACATATTTATAAGTCTACCATTTCTCCTTGCTTTGAATATTGCCGCTACATTTGGTCTGGTGTTCCTGCTACATATTTAGAGATAAAATACAAAGAAGGATCTGCAGTGTTATTAGTCCTGACCTGGCATCGCGGCTTCAGTCACTTTCCCACCGCAATATCGAACAATCATCTATGAGTGTGTGGGGTGGGGGGGCGTTGTGTTATTAATAATATTGTTTTGTTTAGTTTCTTGTATATAAAATTGTAATCATTGTAATATTTATTGAGGTTTCATCTTTAAAAGTTGTTATTTTTATTGCTTACACCCATACAGAAGAAACTATTTAGGACTACATAGAGACTGTGGGGTATTATGGTGGCTGTAGTAAGAATGGTAAGTAAGAATGGGTCGTTTTTGTTTAAAGAATACTGTGATATTATTGTGTCAGTATTTGTACCTGTCTGAATTTAAGATAAGATAGATTGAAGATTAGCCTTCCCCAATCCCTCTTTTGGCCTTGTGCCATATATTTGCACTTTTCAAAATAAATATTACTTTCCTCTATGGTACTTAAACATTATGAAAAGAGTATATTGAATCAATCGGTAAGTCTGATGCTAAGAAATTTGGTTCATTATATCGTTCTACACAAACTTTCTCGCCAGAATCTATCTTACATATTTATAAGTCTACCATTCGTCCTTGCTTTAAATATTTCCACCACCTCTCTTTTGGTGTTCCTGCTATATATTTAGAGATTCTTGATAAATATCAAAAGCATGCTTGTCGGAATAGCAAAGCAAATAATACTATTCATTCATTGCCAATTTAATACTGACCTCCAGGAAGGTAACACATTGCAACTTCTCGGGCTGTCTTCCGCCGACATGAAGAGGGGGGACTATATTGAATCACTTGCTACGTCTGCTTCCAGAAAAAGTTTATTTGATCGTTCTACACAAACTTTCTCGCCAGAATCTATTTTACATATTTATAAGTCTACCATTCATCCTTGCTTTAAATATTGCTGCCACATCTGGTCTGGTTTCCCTGCTTTATATTTAGAGATTCTTGATAATATCCAAAGAAGAATCTGCAGTGTTATTAATCTGACACATCGGATTCACTTACTTTCTCAACACCGTTAAGTAGATTATTTTAAGACATTTTCATGTTTATGCATTCTTTTTATAGATACAAATATTTAAGTAAATGCTCTGTTTATAATAAACAGTATTAACAACATTTACCGGCCTGAATATACGAGAAATTTTCATAGAAAATATTCGTCCTCCGAGGGGGTTCGAACCTGTATCCTATACGGAACCGTCATATAGCCTGACGTGCCTTTAACCGATTTGGCCACGAAGGAGCGTTCGGTTAGCAAGGTCGATTTTATTGCTTTTAAACTTCATCCCTGAATCTCTCACGTACATTCATATCTGCTCATGGCGTATCAAATGTAAACAGATGACGTCACATATTAGAAAATGGACAAAGTCCGACAATTATTTAGTAAATTCTCTGTTTATAATAAACAGTATTAAGCAACATTTACCGGTCTGAATGTCTGAGAAATTTTCATAGAAAATATTCGTATATTCGTCCTTCGTTTTCTATAAATACTTTCATGGCAATTGTACGGATGAACTTTCTTTAATGGTACCTAAACTTTATGAGTTTAAATGCAGTCATAGAAGAAATGCAGGCGATTCCAGAGTCGTCTGGAGGTCGTTGTTGAAGCCAATGGCGATTTTCTTGGAAAAATTACTCTTAGTATTTCAAAATATTTTTGTCATTTTGGTAAGTATGTAAGTTAGTATGAGATATGAGCGTTATTTTCCTTTTTGGGTAATTTAGACAAAAATTTATCCATTGTACATATATATATATATATATATATATGTGTGTGTGTGTGTGTGTGTGTGTGTGTGTGTGTGTGCGCGTGTGTGTGTGTGCGCGTGTGTGTGTGTGTTTAGGCAGCAAATTCTCTTTTAGGCATGTCTGATTGAATAAATTACAGTCTGAATATGAATGTAATTATGTATGCTAATTTTTAATAAAATTCGTTCATACTCATGAATAAGCTTCCGTGTATTGATGTTAAAAGATGAGAGAAATGTGATATAGCTGTTTACATTTCTTTTATTTTCATTTGTCAAGTACTTTCGACCTTTTTCCAAGATCATCTTCAGGGGTGC